TTACCCTCTTGCAGCACTGCCACAGCGTGCTACGATGATTTTTGGAACGGTGTTGGCAGTACTGCCAGCGCTGACAAACAATTTTGGAACACAGCCGAAGTACGGTGGACTACTCACGTGATTCACGACTAAGATCGATTCTTCATAGATGGTGCTCGTGGGGCTTAGATCACTATTTACTCCGGATCTACAATAGGTGTTTTAAGCCTTAAGTCGTAATAAATTGACCAATTACAGTCGAATCCGAGAAGAATAAGCGACTGTGATTCGCCCATTTCTTATGGCTTAAGGCTTAAAACCCTATTGTAGATCCGGACTTATGTCACAGGCTGGGTTCTAGGAGACGTTATTAGCGATATTTGCGTTATTCTATCTTCATCGTCCATTAAATGTGAAACAAGGATAGTTTGACACAAATAGCGTTGATAGCGCGCTCCCCGAACGCAGTCATAGGCTGCGTTCCATAGCGCACGTGAAGTGATGAGCATAGGCTGGATTCACACTGCATCCGATGTGCGTCGTATGACGCTCTACAACCAATCAGAAAACAGGATTCCGATGGATTTTGCTTCGTATCATCGGAATCCTGTATTCTGATTGGTTGTAGAGCGTCGTACGACGCAAATCGAATGTAGTGTGAACCAGCAATAAGCTCGGTTTTTCATTTGTTAATTTTTGTCTTCTGTGACGTTTCCTTACTCCCTTCAATTTATTATTGGTCGTATCAACTCAACGCATGGAGTTGGAATTTATTTGGGAACCATGAATCATGATGTAAGAATACAAGTGTTTTATTGCGCATAATGGCAGTCGAATTTAATTTTAGCAAATTTCTTATTAATGTTAAATTTCTGATAGCAGCTCTATATGGGCTTATAACATTTCGAATTAATTTTCCGATTAGTCATCGACTGTACGTCTTAAGGTAACTATTTTAGCGACAAAAAGGATCACGTGATCAAAATGGACATTTGATATTCGTCAATTTTGACCACGTGATTCTTTTTGTCGCTGAAACAGCCGGTTTGAGCAGCCCGTGAAAATTCACCTTTAGGATCAAACACCTTATATTCATGCATTTAATGGTAATAATAATAATAATAATAATAGAAGAAGAAGCTGGTTAATTCTCTCTTATGGGCCTTCTACAATAAGCCGCAAGTCAGAACGTCAGAAGTCTTAACCAGTCTTAACCAACTCGTTCAAGTTGGCTATTGGGCAACTTCACCGATTATGACTTAAGATCGTTTAGAACTTCTGATTTGCGGCTTATTTTGTAGAAGGGCTATTATGATTATTAGGCTTTTATCCTCATAATGTAAAAAATTGTATTTTTCCATCTATGGTTAATTACAAACTGATGGTTTTGTAGTGAATAATTTTTAAAGTTGCCACTACAAAAATATTAGTTTAGTGATTAATCACAGCTAGAAAAAAACAGTTTTTATCATCAGGTTAAGTGAGATTAAATCTAACCTATATGTATACAAGTTAACCTGATAATTAAAAACTATATCATAATCGTATTATTTTATCCTTATAATGTTGTTCACCGAATGTTAAAAACAAGAATAAAATGATACATATTTGTTCCTATTGCTTGTGCTTTTCAATTATGTCTCAGGCTGGCTCACACTCATAGAATCATTTCATGTGTTTGTTTATCAAATATTAAGCGAGGACAAATGATGCTCATAAGCGTTGTGAGCGCCAAATGGGACGCAGTCATAGTTCGATTTAATATTTACAACAATATTAAGAGCGCGATTTTACCGATACGAATGCAGACTGCAATGACGATCCTGATTACACTGCATCTAACTTCTGAGTGTTTTTCAGGTAATCTCCTTCGGTTTAAAACGCCCTTTAATCCAGCGATAGTATTCGATGAGGAACGCAAATCGGTAAAGGTTTCTTGAAACTAGAGAACAAAATCTTTTTGCGATTTTGCAAATTTTACACAATCATTTTACAAATTATACACATATCTTATTTACACACACACATATACACATTATTTATACACGCAAGCATAA